ACTCCTCCCTATTCACACGCAAACTCAATTTTACAAGCTGCCAACAGCTTTGAGCTCCGGCGATCAACCGTGCTATTTACTCACTACATCATACAAAAAAGACTCACCCAATAGTCGAGAAACAGCACGAGACAAGTCTATAATATGAACTTATCGTTAAGCATATAATGCATGCCCATACTGTGTATATCCGTCTTTATATGAGAAAAAAAAGGGATTTGAGATATAAAAAGAAAAAAGTGTCAACATTAATTAGTTTCAATAAACAAATGATGTTTCCATAAGAAGATAATAGATGAGGAAGAATATTAACAAGAAATTTTCTTTTTACTACAAAAAACTTCATCATCAAAAAAACAAGTTAAAAATAAGATACAACGAAAAAAAAAAAGTAAAGATTTCATTTTCGAATCAATTTCTATGTTTGGTTGCTATGTGTACCGATCTGTCTGTAAGAAAGAGTCGATGAACAACAAATCAAGATAATCGTTTCATACGCGCGAACTTATCCACCTATGTAAAAACTGATTGTTTCAAATGAATGAAAAAATAATGACAACTATTAATCATAAACGACGTCGTTCAATAACAAAATCAATTGAAGATAATACAACAAACATCGATATACAAACTTCAACAACAAATCGAATAAAAAGAAAAACATCCTTATTCAATTCAGACATTAGTCATATGACAACAAAAAAACTTGATACAGTTAAATCAACTGAATTTGAACAAAGAGATCAGTATGAATTTTATATTTGTATAAATTTAAAGAAACAGATCATAATATTTGCATATATATGTATTCTAGAAATCCAAATATCGATTCCTATTCACAAATAGATGAATCTACATTGAGCCTAAATAATAATAATTTCGATCAAGGTTAGTTACAAAAAAATGAAAATAAAAACATTCAAACTAATTCAATTGATTGATTGTTATTAGAAAATGATTTTGATGATTATGCTGATCGAATTTTTAATTATTTGGGTGAAGCTTATAGTAAACGAATAAGTTCATCTTTACCTGATATTGAAATTAATGAAATTAATTCTTCTTCTCAATCTATCATACCAACACATTCTTCTGATAGTGATATTAAACCATTTCTATGTGCTTTTTGTCCATATTTTGCTCGTAATATTCAAGAATTTCAAACACATATTGCAAAACATACAGAAAAAAATTTTCGATGTTTATTATGTAATTGCATGTAATTATTCAAATACTTATTTAATTTCATCTTATAATAATCTTTATTATTTAAAGGTATAAATATAGACGAGATTGTGTTACACATATGAAACGTAAACATTCAAATAATGTTACGGGTAAATCTAAAATAGTGTAGGAAAATCAATTTTTTGGGGATTTGTATTTTTTTTTAGGATCAATTTCACAATATATACAAAAACTTAATAGTACAACAATAGATAATAATTCAACTCAACCATTATCATCAATACCTTCAATAAATGCAAATAAATCAAATTCATTTGTTGAACCAAAACGATATGGATGTCCATATTGTTCATTAATGACTAAATCAACTTCATCAATATATAAACATCAATCACGTAAACATGTAACGTTTCCTAAAGTAGTTCATAAATATTCAACAGATGATCCAAATACACGTAGTCTTGTTGCTATACTTAAACAAAAATCAATAAAAAGTAAGAATTTATTTATTTATTTATTTACATTAATAATTTCTATTTTATAATACAGAACCAACTGTTCAAACAATTGAAGGTAAAATCTTGCTTCTCATTTAATCAATCATTCTACAAACAGAGCTCGTCGGTCTAAAATTTTCGAATGCGGATTCAATTAACCAAAAAAAGAAAAATTTCAAACCCACACCCGATGAACTGTATTATAGAACTCTATATTTTGTGAAAGAATTTTATTTACAGATGAACAACTTACCAAATCTCAATTTCCTGATGAATCTTTAAATATAAATGATTTACATGATCCATCAAATGTATCATCATCATCATTATCACTTACTCATCATCATGCAGAATCTTTTCCATTAGTAAATCGTCATCGATGTGCTGCTTCAAAACATATTGTAAGTACTTGACATTTCTATATGAAATAGAGCCTATTTCATATCACGACATGTTGTATTCTCTAATCAAACTATCTTGAAGTTCATACAGAAAAAAAAAACAAAGAATTTATTTAAATACTTCGTCTTTGATCATAAAAAAATGATCCATAACATAACCATTGATATTCAATATGAAACTATTTTCTACTAGACTGCTCATAATATTCATTCATCAAATGGGCGTCTATCAAAACTTTTTCAATGTTGTTTATGTGGTTATCGAGCACGTCATCGTAGTAATGTTGTACGACATGTTAAAAAAATTCATACAATTGATCTCAATGAATCGAATCTATCAACAGCTTTAATTAATAATGAAACAACATCTCAATTGATAGAAAATCTTACACCAGAATATATTAATCAATCCGATGAAAATTCTAATAAATTAATCATTGATCATGATGATGAAAAAACAAATCTTAATGATTCACATTTAGAAAAAATACCAAATTATTCATTTAATACTACTGTTCAAGCTCCACTTATACTTAATAAAACTACTACTAATAATAATAATGATCATTCAACAAATTCTTATGCTGATATTCATCTTTCAATAAATATTTTTCTACCGAACAAAAAGAAACAAAATTCAGTTAGTTATATTAAAAAGAAAACTTCTTTTATATAATTCTTTTTTTTATAAATTGTTAGTTTGATCGAATAATAAGTGATAATAGTAATAGTGAAGATAACCCAAATGATATTTGTTCTGATGAAGATATAAGTGATGATGATATAACAAAAATTCATATAACATCATCTCATCAACAAAATCTTTCTCATGGATCATTGTATAAGCCACATAAATGTCGTCGATGTTTCTATCGATCAAATTGGAAAACGGATATGCTTCATCATATTCGTCTTAAACATCATATAAACCAAGCAACTAAATCTGATTATATATCCATGGATTTTGATACAGCTTTACGTACATTTTCCAATTATGAAAAAACATTTGGAAAAGTACTTAAAAGTACAATTAGAAATTTTTTATACAAGAAAAAAAAACAAAATTTAATTAATAATTTTTTTATTTTATTTTTTTTATAGATCGTTTACTATTACCAAAAATAGACTATATTGATTGTACATGGGAAGAATTAAAATCAAAATTATTTATTAATGATGAAGAAAAAAAAATAAATCGACAAGGTTTTCTATCTTCATCATCAATTGAACAAACAACAGTTATTAATAATAATAGTTTTTCATTGATAAATAATGAAGAAAAAAAATTTATCGATTGACAATAATCAACCAATGTTCGAAATATCTAGAAGAAATGAAAAGAAAAAAAATAATAAAGAACATTTACAACTATTCAGTCAACATTGATCGATAAAACAAATGAACAGTTATATTGTCTTTTTTCTTTGTCAATTTCTTGCTAATTAGTTATCAATTCATAGTGATGTAAAAGAGCGTCTTGTCTTCTCATTTATTTTGATCGAAATACCAATTCACTTTCTTTCTTTGTCTTTACTCTTCTTACGTACAATTAACACATATAAATATATCTATATATGTATCTCGACCGAGTCAATCATCATCTGTAGCAGACGTACAAAAAAAAAGGTGGAAGAAGCTCAGTCAGACATCTGTCAGTTAAATTACTTCACTTTACATTTGCACACGTCAGTTAGAATGGAAAAAAAAGTAGCTTAAACTCATTCTTCTTTCTTCTTATTTATATTTCATTTGAAAAATGACAATAGAATAGCTTAATTATGTTTAATTAGAAATACGTTCATTCACATACAATTAATTAAAATAGTATAAATTATAGAAATAATGTAAAAATCTTATTGAGATAGATAGATGACAGCATTAAGTTTATGCGATGATAGATACTGTCACGAAATCGAATAAATAACAAGGTTTCTTTTAATAATAATAACAACAGTTGTATTTTTTCTTGATAGGCATCACAACAGAATCCTGGTCGAAGAAAGGTCATTGGATAATTATTCAGCATATATGCTTGTAGAATGCACATATATACACACACAGATAATTAAGTGATGAGTGTTCTTGGATATTCTTTCGCAGAGGATGTTCAATACGATGTAACTTTTCATAATCTAATAACAAATGACTTTTGCTGAAATAACAGCGAAGATTATTATTTTTTTCTTTGTATCTTTTACTTCTGTTGGGTAAATACGATGATGTATATAGGACAAAGTGGATGATGATATATGTATATGTAAATGTAGTATTGTCTTTCAAAGGCTCATTTTTTGTATACTACTATGAAGGAAATAGTTCAAATTGATACCGTCCACTTGAAGTATAGCTCATCAAGTGGGTTTTTTTCTTATTTTGAAGTCTCTCTCTTCTACTTATTTTTCTTCTCATCTCATCGTCATCAAGAGCGAGAGAGGGAGAGGGAGAGAAGAAAGATTGCACACTTTTCTTTTTTCTTTCTTTCTCTTAATTTTAACACTACTATATTCGTTTTCTTCTTCCCTCCTTCTTTCTTATTATTGCGGTTTCTTTGTATACGTATACAAGTATACATACATTTTCTATGTCGACGAGCCGTCACCAAATTCTTACCTATCTATAGAACTTACATATACACATTATAGTAGACATGCATACAATGCTTTAGTTTGTATGTTCTCTCTCGGTACCTTACATGACATTTTAATATCTACTAGCATATGGTTTTTTGTTCTTTCTTTTTCAGCTGCGGAAGTACAACACCTATACTATTGTTATTGTGACGCTGGCTAACATATTATAATATATCTAACAGTTGCCGACTATTGCTGTGCTCAATTGACCAACAGTCATATATAAACATCAATAGATTAATCTTCTTCTTGTATTAGTAGACATGCCAATCGATAAGAGAAAAATGACGAATGTTACTACTTATCGTACATCGTTATCATCAATAAGTTCTTCTACAAATACAATTTATTTATTTTTAATATTTATTTCATTTGTTTGGAATGCTTATAATACATATCAACATCAAATTTTAATTGACAAGCAATTAAAATTAGAAAATACTCTTGCAGAAATATTACCTTTGACATCTTCATTATCATCTTTTAATCATATACAACCAGCAACAACAACAACAAAATCATCAATTGAACAATGGTTTGCAAAAGTTCTTCATTTCATTCAAGAATTAACATCAAAAAATATGACAAACAATAGCAACAGTAATATTATTGCCAAGCCATATAGGGTAAGAATTGTAATTGTAGAAATGCTTATTGAGAACCTTGACACTTGTATTTGTATATATATATATACATGTATGGTTCTTGTCAAGGTCATACTCGTTTATTTGAAACATGCATAACAAATTAAACGAGACGATAAAAGCTCTCAAAGTGCTTCTGCTTGTCGAACATCAAAGGTTAATGATAAAAGATTTTTGCTTTAACTTTTTGACACATTATGTCGAGTACTACTAACAGTTTATTGTTACAGATTTCTTCTTTTTTTTATGAATACACGTATCTGTCAATCAGAAATATAAATGCCATAAAAAAAAGAAAGAAAGTAGGAAGGGAAACTTGATACCCTTCTTACTCTTTCATTTAATTTATGTTCATCTTTACCTTTCAATTTTTGAGATTAAAGTAAATATGATCTTAGTATATTGTCATCATCGACTAAGTGATTGAATATATCTTTTGCTTGTCAAACATTTTGTTTAAAACCAAACGAACAAATGTCTCTTCTTTCGTCTATCATTAATATCAAATTGAAATGACTACCAAGGTTTTTCTTTTGTCATCTGTTCATAAGGCATATACACATGCATGTTCTTTCATTCTCATTACCTAAAGTGATAGACACCGGGGTCATAAAATGGCGATGAATAGGGTGTATATGCATCACTTTAAGTCGTCGAGTGGATGAACATACACAAACTCAAAGAAAGTTTATAGTGCGCAATGATGATGATGATGTCTACATTTTAAATATAAACGCGTATTCATCCACTTTACATGAAACAGAATGCATAAAGACGACCAAGGAATTATCGTTATGACATTCTCTAGTTCTTGAATCAATAATTGATGTTTGTAAGACATAGACATTTGATCATTACGTGATGAACAAATCTATGATTGGCACAAATATAAAAAATGAAGAACTTCAAGTTGTATGTCACTAGCTTTTTCTTATTGTCGTCAAGAACATTATGTTCATTGGATGATGTAACAACATACTTTGTATTGATACATATATATATATATATACATATGTGTGAAAGAACATGACAAAATAATAGTAATGAAAAACAACATATTGATTAAGTTGAAATGACCTTTTTCATACATTGAATACAATCGAACAGAAGATAATCTTATCGGGCTTTTTTATATTCATTCTATACGATAATTGAGTAGATGTTTATTAAGATTTATATTTTATCCTCGATGTAAAATTTACATTGATGTATCGAATTATGATTTGATTGAAATAAACAAAAAAGAACTTGTCTTATATCTTTTTTTCTGTTTTGTCTTTAAAATAGAATGTAGCACGTCAACGACGACAGGTTCAAGAATCACAACAATCTAATTGTTTATGTCCTCCAGGTAAGATTTTATGATTTTTCAATTTCTCGCATATAAATCTATCAATATTTTATAGGTCCTAAAGGCGAAAAAGTACGTTGTATATTTGAATATATGTAATGCTTTTCTGATAATATTGTTTTTTATTGAAGGGCGATCGTGGTTTTGCTGGATTTCCGGTAACATATAATTAATTAAAAGTTTTTGTAGAGATAATATTTTTACTGATTGTTGTAGGGTGAAATGGGACCTAAAGGTGAACGAGGTTTTCCAGGTTCAATAGTTTGGAATGGTTTGAAAGTAAGTTTCGAATCTTTAATATATAGTCTTCTTTATATAATAATGACAACAATCTGTGTTTACTTAATTGACAGAAAGTAGATGAAGTTTTTAATTTCATTTAGGGTGAAAAAGGTGAATCAGGACGCGATGTAGAACCGGGTCGTTCAGGAATGTCATCATTATCGTCATCTCAAGTCAAGTACATTCCAGGTCCACCCGGTCCACCTGGTCCATCAGGACCTAAAGGTGATATGGGTCCATCTGGGCGTCATGGCATGGGTGAAACTGGACCACCTGGACAAGATGTATGTTTTATTCATTGACTCATATTCCATACATTACTTAATGTCCTCTGCTTTTCTCTTTTAGGGTTTACCCGGCGAAAAGGTATGTAAACATAAGAATTAGAACAGAAATTAAAAACGACCATAGATTGAGATGAGAAGATAGTAGTAGAGACAGGAAAAAGGGAAACCATGCAACGCCTAATCTTTTTTTTATTGACTTCTATTTTGTGATCATATAATTATGCTTTATACAATTCTGTAAAGCGCTTTTATTCGTCTATAATTGATGTCCCCCTCTCCTCCCCCGCTTTAGTGTGGTTCATACTCATACCCCCAGTTATTTACGGTTGCATGTTTCCATTGTTATTCGTATTTATGCTTATTTGAATGGATACTATTTGTTTTTGTTGTGATCTAATTTTTAAAACGCAGGGTGAAAAAGGCGATCGAGGACCTATAATTCGACCAAAAGTACGCAGATTTGTCGTCATGAAAGGTGATCCAGGACCACCAGGAATTAAAGGTAAAGAATTTATGAGAAATATCAATTATGTCTAATATTAATATTTTATTTGTTAAAGGAGAACGTGGTGATTTTGTTGTTGGACCTAAAGGTGATCGTGGTGCTCCTGGTTTACCCGGAAGGTATAATGAAAAATAACATAGTGATAAATATGTTCGTTGTTTCTTTTTTTTTTTGCAGTCCAGGAATACCAGGACAAAATGGTCTTGATGGTTCAGATGGACTAAGAGGTGAAATGGGTTTTCAAGGACCACCGGGAAGAAAAGTAAGAATCGATTTATGAATAAATAAAAGAAAACTATGAATGAATGTCATGACATGACATTGTATTTAATTGTTTCTTTATTACTTCAAGGGAGACCGTGGTGTAAAAGGTGAACCAGGGTTTATTCAGAAAATTGATTTCAATTCAACACATGTCGTCTTAATGGGTCCACCAGGTCTTCCAGGGCCAAAAGTAAAATAAACGTTTTGAATAATCTTTTTTTTTTGTTTTCTTTGTTAATCTTTTCTAGGGAAGAATTGGTCTTCCTGGCCAACCAGGATTAGATGGAGAAAAAGGAGATCGAGGAGATCCTGGTCCACTGGTAAAAACAAAAAAATATTTCATAGATATAATAGAAAAACTAATTCCTAAGCAAACTAATCATTTATTTTTAGGGAATAACAGGACCAAAAGGAGATATCGGACCTCCTGGATTTAAGGCAAGTTTTATGCAAAATTTATGTGATATTTCTTTTTAGTTCATTATTTTCAATTATTCTAGGGTGAAAAAGGTGATCAAGGCAAAGGAGAAAAAGGAGATCGTGGTCCAATGGGTTTGCCTGGTTATTCAATGGTAAGAACAATACATATCTTTGATCGTTTCTTTTATTACATTTAAAATTCATTTCACACATTTTAGAATATGCCTGACATGCCTAAAAAACGTTCAGCGGTACGTATTATGATTATTGTTTTTTGTACATTGCATGTCTTTGTATAAATGTTTATTATATTATACTAAATGTGATATATATTGATATAATAATCGAGGTTATATGTATACATACATATATATAAGTAAGGCGTTGCTGGTTTCCTTTTGACAATATTAGAAGTCGATCAAAATTGATCGAGATTATTTTATGATATTTGTTTATTGATTTCAGGGTAATCGAGGTGAACAAGGTTTACGAGTAAGAATTAAGCATTTGATTTTCGACTTCTATATTTTTTAATGATTTTTTGTTTAGGGTCCACCGGGAGAAAAAGGAGAAAAAGTATGTGCATGATAGGATATTCTTTTTTTTAAATATTTTATTAAAATTTTATTTTTAAGGGTGAAGAAGGTCGAGAAGGACGACGAGGTTTACGTGGTCGACCAGGTTTACCTGGTCCCGCTGGAATGGATGCATTACCATGTCCACGTGAACTTTTATCTAATTTTGAAAATGCATGTCATTTATGTTGTAAAAATCCATAAGAAATATATCGTAAGAAATCTTTAAAAACATTTTTCAAGAAAAAAAATTAATTTAATTTGTTTTATCTAGTGTGACCAGTTTTGAAAAATTATCAATGATCTCACTCCTATTCTCCGGTGCTATATTTTTCAACAGTTAAAAATTAGTGAAAGAAGAATCGCCTGGGATCAATCGAAATCGGATGACATAAATTTTCTTTTTCTGTTTTTTCTTTTCTCTTTTTTTTTATTGTATTGTCTTATTGTTTTATGTAATGCATGTGTGTGTTTTGTGCATTATTGTTGTATATAGATTATACTTTATAGTAAATTTTTGTTCGGATATGTAACAACAATAAAATAAGACTATAATTTAAATTTTATCGTTTCTTTTTGTCATTTTTATTCGAAGAATAACGAGTGATCAGAAAGCTTTTAGACAAAATACTTTTTGTCACTTTTGATCCACTAGAAAGTTGTTCCGTCAAGTAAAAAGCTATGACTTTGTGCTCTTGTCGAATACGAGCTTAGAAATATTGTCTCAGTTTTTCTTCTAGTACAGTGAAATAATCTTTGTTTCTTCTACAGTCGCTTTTGAAAACTCAGCAACCATTTTACATTGAAAAGAGCTCTTAAAAAATGACTGGGTAAAAGCTACACCTTAGTTTAATATCCCATTTTTTTAAAAAGTATTCACTCTTAGAAAACAACCTACTTCGATAATTTTTAGCATGTTCAAAAGGGGATTTATAGGATAAACAAAAGCCTGTTGGCGAACTATTAAAAGTGATTTTTCATGTCTTTTAAAAAGCTTCTTATTAATTTTAGACAAAAATTAACACAACATTTCTAAGCTCATATGCAGAAAAAGCACAAAATTCTGGCCATGGCTAGCGCCCGTTGGGTTCAAAATTTTGAAATCCGGACCTGACGGGTTCTCGTCATGACCTATAGTTTTTAGTGTGTCTGAAGTGCTGTCAAACATGTTTATTAAAAACGGTGACCTGTGCATTTTGTTCGAACTAATCTTGTTGGACTGTTAAAAAGTTGTTTTAGTACTGTCAAACAAAGTTACTAAGCGCATATTTGAAAAGAATACAGAATTATAGCTTTTGACTCGTCGGAAATATTTTCTAGCAGATCAAAAGTGAACAAAAACTTATTTAAAAACTTTCCGATCACCCCTTAGATTGAATGATAATAATCAAATCGAATTATGAAGAAAGAAAATAATACTCGTAACCATTTTTTAGTTAATAAATATAATGATGAAGTTTGATTGCAAAAATGTGTATTATTACAACAAAATATTTTTTCTTTAATATTAACATTGGTTTTTGTATATTGAGAATTACATTGACTATCAAAAATTGATAATGATGAAAGTTCTGTAAAACGAAGACAATCTTTTATAATATCAATATGATAATCAATCATTTTAATATGTTTAACACAACCAATAGCTTCTTTATATGAACAATAAATATGATAAGGTTGAGAACAATCAATAAATCTTTTTGTTTCAATAAATGACATATGAGAATTTATATGATCTATTCGACCACAATAAACACAAAAAAAACCGAATGATAAATTTATTGTATTATTTGTAGATAATTGAATCGTACATTGAAGTATATCAATAAGAACAAATAAAACTGACCATTTTCTTATAAAATTGAACATGTGAACAAAATTTTTGAAAAATGACGATCATTGAAAATGAAAACAACCACTAACTTGTTTTTTTTTGTTTAAAAATAAGATAAATAGATAAATTAAAAGTTTTTAAATATCGCCAAGAATAAACGTATTCTATTATTTACATAGTAACAATAGTTCGAATAATTAAATAAAATAAAATAAAATTTAATGAATAAAATAACAGAAATATGTCGAATAAATTTATTGTATGGAAATAGATTTTCATGTAATGAAAAGAAAGCTTAGAAAAGAAGCATTCTCAGCTATCGGATATCATATGACTTCACATTTTAGTCACGAATAGGTCTCTCTGAGATTAAGAAAACACTAAAAGAAGTGAAAACTATCATCATTTTCGATGAAAGTCTTATATGGAATGCATATTTTATTAAAAGAAGCTTCAGAACTTTTAACTCCGTTGATTTTTATGAATTCCAAAGTATGATTATTTTAATTTCACTCAGTTATAACAAAGCAAAAGTTGAAAATAAATAAACAAAAAAATAGGATATATAATCTGTCTACTTAAAGATTATGGAAATACTAATGGAAAAGTACAAGATTAGAGCCACTGTCGACATCAAGGTGGACATTAAATGAAAGATTGAAAGTGTAGTACTTGCTGATTGTTGACATAGGGATACATATACTTTCATTTATGGATTATTTAATAACATAAAAGTGTTTGTGTCTCTTGTTAGTATTGATCGGAAAACACAAAGAAAACTTCGTCAAAAAAAAAGCAGTTAGTCAGGATTAGTAGTCTTTTTTTTTATTATGAATTAAAAATATAGCGAGAAAATATATATAATCTAAAACTGTGTTTTTCATTCTGTCGATTCGTACAAAAAAACTTTCGCTTTTATCTGTATGAGATTCGATGAAAATCATCCGTCTTTAGCATCGAATAATTTTACGAAAACATGTAATTCAATATAATAAGCTTGCACAATTGTCCACAGCTTCAAAAATAGGATGAAACTTCCATCGAATATTTCTCCATTCAATAACACCAATACAACATTAGGACGAATTGATGCAATGAGTTCACAACTGAGCTATAGATTTTTATTCATTTTTTTCGATGTAGAAACACTTTACTTGAAGACTAATTTCATATTTGGAATCAGCATCAAATGATTTACAATTTATTAGTCTTTTTTTAAAAACGTTTTTTCACGTATATTTATATCAGAGATCCACGGAAAAATGTCGTGCTGATTCGTGCTCTAGCGCATGCCAGTACAACGTTTAGCAAACTTGCATGAAGCGAACTCTTCGCCATTCTATGGTTTAGGACTTACCGAAAGTACACTGAAGAAACGAATAAAAATTAGTGAATAACGTCTACAAAGCAAAACATGAAAGAGACGTGCGATGCATTCATCCGTGAGCGCTGAACTGGGGCATCACGATGTCGTCTCATGGATCTCTGATAATCATATACGATAAGAGTCTTTGACAGAGACTTTTCAGTAAAAAAGAATCTTTTTACATCAAAAAAAAAGATGTCCGCCTGTCGTATAGAAAAATTCCCATTGTGAAGTCTCAACAAAGGCCCTCTTAGAAATCTACTCATAACTAACACATGAAAAAAATTAGGATCTAACAATAATAGATGCTCTTTCCTCAAATAATGTAAATGAATATTATCGTATCACCTACAAGCAGTCTTAAAGTATAAAGATAAATTTAGATCCTCTCCGAATGTGCACCTAGACGGGCATTTGGCTAAGATTAAAAATCACACTTTTTCAAGGTTTAAACAAAAGTAAATTTACTTCAAAATATAGTCTATCTAACGGTATAAATAACTTTGTTACAACCGTCAAAAAGACTGAAAAACTAATTGCTAAAAAGTTAGGCTAAAAATCGTGGTGTCATCGATAGAATTGGTATTTGGCAAAATAAAACTGTTCGACAGATAAATCAAGTACATTTTCTCAATATCTACGCCGAGTTCTATACAATGATAACAAATATTTTTTAATTTGCATGTTTAACTTCTGAGAAGAAAAAAATATTTTTTTTGTGTTGTTTGAACGGGTAGTCTCCTAAACTGAGCAATTCAGCTATATCTAATCTCAAAACTTTTCGAAACTTTACCAGAATGTTCTTTTATCTACTATTTACACAGTATGTTTCGTAAAAACCTAGGTACTTCTGACATTTTTCATTTTTTTTTATTTTGAAAAAAATATTCAATCGACAAAAATAGTAACTATAGTCGTTATCAGTACATTAAATTGCGTCGAATCATGTGTGATACAAAATATTTTTAAAGAAAACAATTTTCTCGAAAAAGTAAAGACAAGTATTCTCCTGAAGTATTTTTCGTCGAAAAACATTTTTTTCTCAAAACATGTTTTTTTTCTTAAAAATACTTTTTTGTGTCATATTCAATCGCTTCTGAGTAAAGAAATATGTTTTCGAGTAAAAAAGTCACATGTCTGCTTGTGCAAAAAATGTACACATTACTCGCTTCCCTTCTTCCAATCACTCCACAGACGTGACAAACATTGTTGATATACAATCACACATCATCTTTCTGTGATATAGTGACTTATGGAATTTTTCCATATAATCATCGGTTATACATTTTGGAAATTTTCCAGTGTACTGTTTTACTTTTATGTACTTTCCAAATTAAGTTGGAAAATTCCCTTTCTGTTATGTCTAGGATATATATATGCATCAACATTTTTTCATTGTTGTTGTTCGGTTGTTAGCTTAAATAAACCAGTTTTGTTTCTTTCAATACTTTCTTCATAGAAGTGACGTTAAGACGTGACACTATCAATAATGTCTCGTTATAATATATCAACTACCTCCTTATTGCATTTCTGAAGAATTAAGTAAAAGCATGATGAAGAAATGTGCCCGAAAATAAACCTTCTTTCTCTGATTAGCCATAGGAGCTACATTGTGTGTCACATTTTAATCTTGCGAGAATTGCACTAACAACTTTTTATGCAATTTCTATTGATGATAGTGCACAGCAGATCTGTTATTATAACACTTCATGACGATACTAAATTTTCAATATTGATTATATCTTTGCTTCACTTTTCAACTTATGAGATCATTCAAATTGAATGTTGGTAACAAAGAAAACTCTTAAATAAAAACGTTCTGTGTAACAAATATATATGAAGAATAGAAGAGAAACAAAATTGTTAAAATGTTGTACTGGCAGTTGGACGTTGACGTTGCAGTCCATCAAGAATATTGAAATCTTTGTTATTTGAAGAATTTTGTGTTTTTGATTTTGCATTTTCAACTTCAATTTCAAATCGACCATATTCAACATCATTAGTTTCGCCTTCCCATTGCTGTTCTTCACCGTTTTTCACATATTCACCTTCTTCATCATATTCACCTTGTTCGTATGCTTCTTGTTCACGTTCTTCAGGAGTTTTCAGTTCGGGTTTCTCTCCATGCCATTCTTTATCAGCTGTACCACCACGTCCTTGTAATTCATTAGCAGTCTCAGTAGCATTAATTTCCCTTGCCCATGCCAATGGTGTATTGCCTTGAGAATCCTAAATATAAACAGTATAAAATCTTCTATACTAAATATAAAAGAATATTATTTACTTTAATATTAATATCAGCACCTTTATCTAAAAGTAATTTTAGCATGTCTATATTATTATGTCCTGCAGCTAAATGCATTGAACTCCAGCCTGATTGGTCTAATGTATTTAATGGTATTTTGCCTCTTTCAATTAGTAATTTTGCTACCTCATAGAGACCATCATCAACAGCATAATGTAATAAATAATATGCATTTTCATCTTCACTATTAGCAAGCATTTCAGGTGTTGGTGCAACACGAGCTCCATGATCCATAAGCATTGTTATAAGTTCTAAATATATGTATAATATCAAAATAATATAATTTTTTTTATTATTGGAAATGATTAGTCTTACCCATATCATCGAAATTCATAGCATCGGCAATAAGACTCATACCTCCAACCCCATCACAATCAACTTTAGCACCACGTGCTAATAACATACTAACATTTTGTTTACTACCTCGATTAACAGCTGCCATTAATGGAGTCCAACCATGTTCATCACGCACTTCAAAATCATCAACATAATCTATCAATGGTGCTAATAAGTCGGGATTGTCTATAGAATTAAAACAATTCTAGAATCAATATAAAAAAGAATGTATATAATACCTTGCCATGTTGCATAGTGAAGTATGGTACATTGACTCTCGTCAGAAGGTACATAAGACTTGCATAAATTACGAATTTCTTCAGCACTTAAATCTTTAATAATTGTTCTTAATTCACTGATATCTTGGTTTTCAATAGCTCTAGCCATTGATTGCTCTTTGCTTACACCAAAACCCATTTTCTTCTTTTTTTTTTTTGAATAGACGAATAAGATAGCTGCTTGTTTATATTCAATTACTTCACTTGTTTGTCTTATATCACGTATTTATACCAATATTTTTTTCGAGTAACTCGACAACGACAAGCAAAAAGAAAAACGAAAAAAAAATGCAATATAGCACACGTCGTTTGCTTATGAAAAAGGAAACAGACCAATGAGCATGATCAATAAACCACGCATAAATGTTTCATTTGTGCATTATGTGCGCTCATTTACTTTCGTACTTTCAAATGTAAATCAGTGATGCGCGTCATAGCTTTTCTTTCTCTCTCTCTCTCTCACCTTCAATCATTTACTTGCTATCGAAGAAATCAATGACGACATTGAGACTGTCATGCATTTATATATATCACACAAATTCATGTAAAAAAATATCGTTTCAGTAATTTAAAGAAAAGAGGCAGAACTATTGATTAATATGAGAGCGATTGTCATCGTTGCCACTCTCATATGATGAAATAGCAGAAATCACATTTGCTACAATATCTAGGCGATCCTAAAATAGAAAAATGCGGTATGACATTGAAGTTGTCATAATCAAAACAAAACAGACTCGGATCAATGCATTGACTTGATTCTTTTTTCTATAAGAATCTAGTTCGAATTGCTCAACTTTTAAATTACTAGCAATTGATTGAAATGTCTTCAAATCAGAACGACAACGTTCACCATGTGCTTGTAAATCACGAAGCAAATGCTCACATAGATCTCGTGATTGCCGACTCTAATATTTTAGTTGCAAATAAAAAACAAACATTACTCTCATTGTTTTAGAAATAATTCTTACTTGTTTTAAATTTTCAAAATCACGACAAACAAGTTCAATTACATCATTAATTACCTTAACATCTTTTTCAATACTTAATAAACGTCTAAAATGCTCATCTTCTATACCAGTTAACTAAAAAAAGGTTTTTTTTTATTCTATAAATAAAAAAAAATACATCGGATTTTTCATTTAGCAAACTTTTTCTCCAACTAAGATAATACGATTTCCATTAAATAAACCAAAAGTTTCCAATGGTTCATCAGGTGTCATATGTAAACGTTGTCCTAAAAAAAGAAAATGAAATAGTCATTTTAAACAGATAGTAAGTTATCGATTAGAAAAATCTTACCACGATAAAGTAATTGTTGATTCATCATTGTAACTCGAGCTTTTTTTTCAACTTCTTCCATAAGATCTCTGACCAAAGGTGGTCGTTCCATATGAAGATGAATATCATATCGATCAGAGCCTATGAGAATGTTTACAATTGAATTTCAAGAAGAATTTTTCTTTACTACCATGTGCAACTTCAAGATGTAAAATATAAAAACGACTTTTAATGTCTGTACTTGTCATGTTTCGTAAATGTTTAACAATGAAAATGGTACAATTAATGTAACTGTAGTATTTTTAACCATTTTTCAAATTGAGTTTCTATGGAGAAAAAGCAATTGAAAAGTTCAATGGAAAGAGATGACGCTGTTCGACAGTAAATATCAAAATTAAATATTCATATTTTTTTTTTGCTTTTATGAACTAATTTATTCTTAATGTCTGGACTCATATGACACAGCATGTGATAAAGAAAGAAGAAAATTCTTTTATATTCTTTTTTTATTCAAACAAGAGAAGTAGCTGAAGTTCACAGTTGAATTGTTATTTTAAACACCTTATTTGTTTTCTATTGATGCTTCTTATTAGTTTTTTTATTAGTTTTTCTGTTTGTTTAATCTGTTATTTTTGCAGTGCTTATTTGCATTTGTCTTTTTTTTTTCTTATACCATAGAATCAAAGAAGGATTACAAATTATACGAATTTCTTTTTCATCATTTGTATTCTTTCGATCAGTCTCGACGTACATATGGCACAAGTACGACGACAATCTACTAATCCATCTCCAACACCTAGAAAAATCCCTCCTGTGCCTGATATGATACGTTTTCGAGCACCAACATCAAGAAGTATCCGACGAACACAAAGCTTTTATGTCAATGGCCAAACTTCACATCTCGGAACACCGATTCAAGCAATGTATCCGAAACAAATCGTCAATCATCCACCTCCTCGTTTTGTTCAAAAAACATCAGAAATTAATGGATTCCATAAGTCGAATAATTCAGAGTATGATCCACTAACTGGCTTAAAAATTAATGCTACTTCTACTACTAATGAAAGTCATGAAAAATCATATATTATTAGTTCATCATTCAATTCTTTAATGCGTCGTGAACGACAACTGACTTCGTCAGCACTACAACCATCATCAGAAAATTTATATTTATTACAACAACAACAAAAACAACGTCAACGACAGAGATTAAATAATAATGATGTCTGTGTAATTTGATATATGTTTAAATAATAGCATTTAAATGATTTCTATTAGACTGAAGAATCCGTTGTCATACCAACACTAAGTGATGACGATGGACTTCCAGTTGTGTCTGTTGATCAAGATCGTGTGCCGGTTTATGCACGATTTCCTTTTGATGTCAGCGTAAGTATTTTTCTCATTGAGAATTTACACCTTTTAGCATTTTCTTTTATATAAAAAAAAGTGACAAATAGAAGTTTGAGAGTAAGAGAAGAAATTGAAATTTTTTTCTCATTCCTATACTAAAAGTGAAGTGGAAAGATCATATTTTGATGGTGACAGCAATAGCAGCGATTGACTATGACGGCAACATACAACTACAACCAAAGAAACGGCACGTTCTTTAACGTATCTTTGTTAAGTAAGAGAAGAAAAAGAGAAGAATGAAAGAGAAAGTTTTGTTTTGTATCCATTACAAACTTGATTTTTTTTTTCTCTTTTCATTTGCATCGATTTAATTCTCTAGTTTCTACCACGACCAATGGACACTAATGTTGAAGATAATATTCATAAGCTTCGTCTTCGTTTAATTGATTCGGTAAATTATAATATGTTAAGTTTTATTAATCATTATTTTTAAATTTTCGCCTTCAGGAACTTCAACATCAACGTCAAAGTACGGATGATTATATTAAACGAACACGTATGTATCTTTTTTTCTTATGTGTGCATTTACAAAAAAAAGAAAAAATTGATTCTAAAAACAAAGGAAACACTTTTTTCAGAAGAACAACTTTCTCTTTCATCATCTAAATCACCGGAACATTATTTAAATGATATCAGTCCATCAAACAATTTAATTTATCAACGAGTTAAACCAAGGATTTTGAGTCGACAAACATCATATTCACCATTATCTATTGAAACCCCGGTGCCTATTGGTAATTTTTCGGGATTATCTCGAGGTAGTCAGATTTTTATCACATAGACAAACACGAGCTTTGTTTGATTTCACAATTGTACACATACTTATCTATCATTTTCAAGAATATTATCTATATGTATATCATTATTTATTTAGATCGCATAGGAATGGGAAATAATTCTCAAGATCATTCAGATATTGAACGAGATTTAGAAATACGACGAATACAAGTTAGATAAATGATGATAACAATTAAAAAATCTCTTATTGAATTAATTGTTTCTTTTTAGGAATCCTTAAACAATGGTCGTCGATCAAATCAACAACTAGCGATATCAAATTATTCTTATGACCCGCGGTTACATTTACAACCTTTAAATAGTATATAATGAAAATGATCTATTAAATATATAATTTTTTAAAATAAAGGTACAATAGAAGAACGACAATATTCATCTTCTAATATGGATGACTTAATCGATTCAATGGCTAGACGTCATTTAGCTTATCGACGACTTGATGTATGTTGTTAAAATTAAAATTTCTTTCTTTTTTGTATTTCATAGATCAAATCCGTATTTTTGTTTCAGGCAGCTATTGATCGTCAACGACGAGGTCCAGGAGGTTACAATTCTTATTTTGGTATAAAAGAAGATTTTAAGTTTAGATGAATAGTAAGTTTTAAAAAAAAATGTTATGTAGATTCTTCAGTTATCGGACGACAAGCGTCATTTCGCAGTCAACAACAAGATGATGATATATTTTTCGCAAATACAGCATCAGCAAGTCATCTTGGACAAGGTTTATTTGATAAATATAAAATTTCAGTTGATGTTTTTCTTTGATTAAAGATTTTTTTCGAACGAATTCAAATGGTTTAAATCAAATGCTTCGATCAAGAGTTGATTATTATAATCGTATTCAACCTGATCTTGATGATGTTTGTATCAGATCTTTAAATTTATAGTAAATCAAAATGAAGACTTCATCTTTTTAGGTAAGTCCAAATAATGTGATACGTACGAATTCTTATTCGAAATTACCTCCAATATCACCTGGAGTAGATTCAAATCGTTTAAGTCGAACACAGTAATTAACTGATTTTAATCTAAACATTATAATCAATTTTTTTTTATCTCTAAAGAAATCTATCAAACTCAGCTCTTTATCAAGCTAAACATAATCCTCAAGAACATCGAAATTATCAACAACCTTTACCATTAAATTTACCTGACCATACTGAACATTTAATTGAATTACCAAGTGATATATTTCTTTCATCAAGAACAGGTGATCATTTAAAATTGCACATCGAACAAGCTTAATATTTTTGCACTTATATTCACTATTTCATAATAAAAATAAACCCTTTAAATAAACCCTTTTCTTCTTCATTAATTATTTGTGTTGTGTGCTTTGTTTTTGTTTTCTTTAATCTAAATATACGTGTGGTCGCGCATTTAACTATAGAACTAATTGGCTCATCTCAACGTCATCATCAAACTCGAGCAATTAAACCAGGATCTGTCTCAAAAGATAGTAGGTGCATAAAATAAGTGCTAATTATTATTAACCGTATCTTTTTCTTTTGTTCATATGATTAGAATCGGATGTATCTGTAGATTCGGAGGCAGATCAATCAGACGGTGAAAATACTTTACCTGTTGTTAATCATCAATACAGTCAAAATAAACAAAAATCAGCAAAAAAATCAGCAAACGGTAAATAAGACAAAATTTGATTTCTTTTTCTTCTATAATAATTATTCAAATAACTACAGTAATAGATTCATTTGAAGAATTAGCAAATCAAAAGTTTTTTTTTGTTTTGCTCTATTAGAGCAGAATCGAGAATAGGCATTGATTAACTTTCTAAATTTCGTTGTGCTTTATTGAAGCAGAACAATGTTAATATAATCAGACTTCATCACATAACATAGGTCATCATGGATTTTTTACCGAAGGAAATCCTCCACAACAACAACAACAACAAAAGCCAAAAAAAAATAATTTTCCACGACGATTATTTCAAAAAACAGCTATTGCCATTTTGTTCATAAATATTCTCAAACATCGAGCTACTAAAAGCCGATTAGTAAGTACAAAAATGATAAAAACAACATTTATTATAATAAAAAAAAAAATGTCTAATCTATCGAAAGAATCGTCCAAGTCAAACATTAAGTGCAACAATACATAAAATTCGTTTACAAGAAATAATGGTTGCATTACATCGTGTTTATCTCGAACCTGATGGTCCGATTTATAATGCACTTATACAAGCTGTAACTAGTTCAATTGAATTAAAAGATGCATTAGATACATCATCGAAATATTATTCGGAAGCAATTAACGTTATTGGTGAAGCATTAAAAAATGTTATTTCAAAAATTGTTGATTTTATGGTAAGAAAAAAAAAGAAATTTATCAAATAAATTTTAAAAAATAATTGTTTTTTTTATTTTTTATTTTAGCCAAAGGATGGTATTCTAGGTACAGCAAAAAATTCAGCTGTATCAGCACTTATTCAAGATGGAAATCCATTTCCTGATAATTATTTTTGGCAATGTGAAAAAGTAAGTTTTATTTTATTTTTAATGGTTCTTTTTTATGGATTATTTTCTTCGAGGATATGCTTGAGTTTAATAAAGCAAAAATTATAAATGTAACCAAACAACGAGCAACGCTTCTACTTATTGGTATTTTTATTTTTCGAGCACTTGTTACAACAGTAGGTTGATTATTCTAATCAACTAAAACCGTCTTTGTTTTTTTTTGCTTACTTCATTTTTAAGTTACTTATTAAACCAATTAAATATCGATTCATGCTTGGTGAATTAACAACAAATCAAGCAGCTAGTCTTAAAGTTCTAGCATCAGTTATGCTTTATGTTGGTCGACGAGCAGTTAAATCCATTCCTCAAATACTTGTATGTGATAAAAAGAAAAAGAAATTTAATACTTTTTTATTAATAGACTTTGCCACATGAATGGGAATCTTCATTATATAGTGATACAGATATTGAACCAATTATTCAACATGCGGAAATCAAATCAATTATTACAACATGTGAAGTAAGTTATTTATTTCACTTCCTTAACAAATAGATAGATATAAATATATATATATATATATCGATAATCTTTTATTTAATTAAGCTATCATTACGTGTTTGGTGTGAAGAATATATCCATCGTATTGATGCAAGTTTTGGTAAAGAATTACGAACATGAATATGATCATTGACTTATTCCCTAATGTCAAAGTTGCTTTTTTTTCGCGATTCACGATTTCTTTGATTGTTTCTTCTTTCTTTTTTTCTTTGCTATATACAAATGAATTCCCAGACAGGTTCTACTGTCAAGGCCATCATCATCTTTGTTTTTGGCTTTTCGATGAAATTCTTAAGGGAAATTGTGTCTTCATATAATTTTTTTTTCTTCTCTTATTTATCAGCTACTGTGAAGTATTCTTCATCGTTATCCAATTGTTCCATGCATACGCTAAAGTTAATTAAATTTAGTATCCATTTCTCTGATGATTGATTAGTCGACCGATCAAACAAGCTTCTTATGTATATTTAGTTTGTTTTTCATTATAAATTCTTTCGTTTATTTCTTATGGCTGCTCTCCGAACAAATGTGGTATGAAATGAAAACAAGTGTGGAGAAAGAAAAAGAACGAGGAAAAAAAGAAGAATTCAATCACAATTTGGCAACAATATAAAATAGGAACTTGATAGAGAAAGAAATAATTAAGACTACATTCAACTGTACAGGACGGCATTCACGTTATTTATATATGTGCGTATGTCTGTTTAAGCATCAATAAGAGGGATTATGATTTTGTCTGAGAATACTCTTAATAAATCATTTTTTTTTAATTAGCAACTTCAGTAAGAATTGTACGTGATGATTGTACACGAGATGATGAACGTTGATCTAATTTTTGATTATCACCTTGTGTATCGATTGTACTCGTACTATTGTTTATTGGTGATGTATTAACACTTGCAATTTTCATTTCCATTTCCTCTGTAAAACATAAAAAGAGAAAAACAATTAATTAAAAATTGGTAAATATCAATATAAAAGCAAATATTAAATAAAATAATAATAATAACAACAACAAAAAGTACATATCACCACAAAACATAGCATATGTAGTGTAAAAAATTGAATATCAAATGTAACATGCGACATATTGGAAACAAATAGAGAGTGGGCAGAAAAAAGAGGGGAATCATTAGGATGTATTGGTTATTTTAATATATTAACTTACAAAGTTTTCATTACAATCATCACAGTGAATGGTCTTCTAAAGAGATGCAGTAGTTTATTAATTTTATTTTTTTTACAATTTCCTCATTTTTTCCCTCTTTTGCTTGTCATGAAAAGAAAATTATATAGGTCACATAAAATATACAACGTGCATATAAAAGAAAAAACAAGATAATTTATCATACAGTATAAGTGCATGATATGAAAATTATAAATATATTTCTATCGAAATGAGCAGCAAGAGAACATCGTACCTAGTTTTAAAAAACGTTTGAAAATCCTATGAATTTCTTTTCTTAAACCTTGGCCACATGAGTATGATGACTACTAATCTTTGAACTAGATTGAATCATTGGTATACGTTCTTCATCGTCATTTCCTATGTGAATGAATGAAATATCGACTGGAATTTCTATTATAAATATTACTAAGAATAGTAGGAATTAGAAAGAAAAAAAAACAATGTTATAGCCTTTAGATTCGGCTGTTCTAATAGAAAGAAAATGAATGTCGGTGCATGGACGAACAAACAAATGGCATAAACATCGCTATCGATGGCTCATAAAAATGTATGGAAACATAGAAAAAGATAGAATATTTCTTCTTGATGTTTTTTTCCTAAGAAGCAATATAGCAATGCCATAGACAAAAAGAAGTATTAGAAGATGCTATTTACCATAAACATAGACAGATGTGTATGAATCTATCTATATATATATGATGTGGGTTGTCCTCAGTATAACAATGAAAAAGGCACAAAGATAAAAAAAACGTAAGAGCTTAGAGTTCGACGAAAGGAAATAGAGAAAAAGAAGTTTAATGGGTCAGATGAAATGAATGAGTATAGGGAAAAAGAAAAGAAAAGAATGATTGAAGCATGAATATAGTTTATATACCTTCGAGGAATGCTTGAAAATTTTCGGTGACTAAATAAAAAAGTTTAACCACATAAAAAAATTTCAATAATACTTATTTCCCAAAATATTCTCAATACACACAAGTATTCAATTATATATTATATAAAAAATATTAATTTTATTATTTTTTTGTCTGATCTCTTATTAAGAGACATACATTTATAGAAGACATAATGATTATCTTACCAATTCGATTGTGAATAATATTGTTTTCAGTCATACCAAATTTAGCAGCCATGCCACCACCACCTTGTTTAATAACATTTCTTCGTGGCCCACCACCAGGTGGTACGCCTTGCATGTTCATTGTTCCATCTATTTTTCCAACATCCATACCAAATTTATTCAAAGCTCTACTACCACCACCGGTACCTCCTCCTCCTCCAACACCTCCACCACCATGACCAGTTGCTCTTGGTGGCCTAACCGGTTCAACAGCCATAACTCTTCGTCGTTTCTTCGGTAATTTTGAGCGTGCTTGTGTATGTGAATAATACATAGCAAAATTAGCAACAATAACAGGAACTGGCAATGCAATGGTTAATACACCTGTTAATGCACATAAACCACCAACCATCATGCCAACATATGTTTTTGGTACCATATCGCCATAACCAACTGTTGTCATTGTTACAATGGACCACCAAAGTCCAATTGGTATAGATGTAAAATCATTATCTGGATTTTTTTGTAAACGTTCAGCATAATAAATTAATGAAGCAAATATGACAATGAATAAGACAAGAAAAAATATAAGTAACATTAATTCACGCATTGATGCTGTAAACGTGTGTATAAGAATTTTTAATCCACCATAATGACGTGTTAATTTAAATAAACGAAATATACGTGTAATAGAAAAAAATTCAAATAAATCTGTATTTGTTAATGATGCTGGTAATACTTTATTAAATAATATATCTAAATAAAATGATAATGTTGCAAGAAAATCAATGATATTCACAGGTGATCTGATAAAACCAAATTTTTTTGGTGATACTATAAAACGTGTTATTATTTCAAATGTAAACCAAACTAAATAAAAATAATATAATGGTTCTTTTTTAAAGCATTAGTTTTCAATTTACCATTGCATGCTATTTCAATGTATTGAAATGCTTCATGAGCTTCTGTTCGTTCTTTATATAATGTATACGTAGGTGTTATATTTGTAAAATTATTTTCAATTAATGCTATTGTTGGTACACGCATTGTTGGATGAGTTTTTAAACAAAATGATATTATTGAAACAAGAATAAAAAAGATTGAAACAACTTGTATAGCCTAAGATAACAATGATTAATTCACAATAATAAAAATTAAAAAGAAAAAGAAAATCCATACTTTAGCTGCACTACTGGAATAGGGTTCTTCAAATAATTGCCATATACGAGGTTGTACACGTTTAAACCATGGTAATGTTTTCATATATTCTTGTACACTCATATTTTTATGACGAATTGTTGGATCGAAATCCCAACCAAATTTATGTGGAATTTCTTCCTCTGTTATGGGTTCATCATCAAGATCTAAACGATCAAGACCAACAAGGACATCTTGTGTATCTCTGAAATAAAAAACAAATTAAAAATATCTATCTATCTATATATATAATTCTGAATTATGTACCGATGAGTTGTATATGTCATCCAACAACAAGGTTCAACTTGATTAGCATCAAGACCCCAATATTCAAGTTCAGTTTCGAATAACGGACCACAAACATCAGTTGGATAATGTAATTTACCTGTACGATAATAATTTAATATTTGTGCAAATACACCTGGGTGTCGATCGAAATAAAATTCATTAAGGACAGAATCATAATTTGATAGAGCTTCAGTGAGACGGGAAAGACGTGTAGCTGGTATTTTTTTTAATGTTGCTTTGTCTTTAAAAAAAACAAAAGCAAATCTATTAAATTAGAAAACAAAACAAAACAACGATCAATCAATGAATACATACATGTTTCATGACGAATACCACCCACATTTAGAATAACCCGATTATCGGCATCGGCCATACGATATATATCGACAACTGTCAAGAAGGTTCCACAATTTGTTTGAACAAAAAGAGCATCGATGATGATGACAATGATGCTTCTATTTATACTTTGAACCGTCAGATCCAGACGTAGCAAGAACGAGTTTATATCTTCATACATATAGCTGACGTGTTGCCTGACATGCAAAGCACCGGTCAACAGCAACAGCAAAATCTAAAACAATGCTTGTTTTATTGATAACAAATTCAAGTACATATGAGTAATGTATATATACATAAATAAGAACTACATCATCAGCCTAGAAGTTTCTTGTAAAAGAAAAGAAGAAGTGATTGATGTAGCGATCGGGTAATGTTGCTCGTAGAAACGAAGAGGAAGTCAAGAGGAATAAAGCAAGATGGAGAGATAGACAAATCAGCTATATGTGAGACAAGCAAATTGCGTTGGGTATACGATCAAATCGTGTGCACACGAGTGTTTTGCCAGAACAAATTTTTATGTCGCCGAGCCCTCGCAAGCAAGAATGACGATGATCGAGTGATATGGCAACTGAAGAAGGAAAGAAAAAAAGATGAGTATTGCTAGAAGATGTATGCGTTTTCACATAAAGAAAAAAAACGCGTTGTCTTTCTCCTACGAGTTACAATGGAAAAAAAAACAAAGCATACCGATACGAGTTAAATATAAAAATGAATAAATGGATATATATATATATTATTCTTACGTGTTTTTCATGCTATTTGATTCCTTGACGTAAATACACTTGATTGATTATGACAAAAAAAGAAAAACTCGAAGAAATTGATTAAAAACAAAAGTATTATAGAATTTTTCCAATCCTTTTAAAGTCATTTAGATCACGTATTTTGAACAAATGTCAACAGAATTAGAGAAATAACTAAGAGCAAAAAATGAAGAGGATAAAATGAACGGATATCGATTCCTAAATGGAAGAGAAAAAAAACCGTATTGACAATTACACAAGATAGTTCTTCATTTTGAAAACTATATGTTTCTTCAATATTATCTTCTGTTGAGGGTAAATGCCGCAACAAATGGTCGTTACAAATATAGAAGTAGCAAGACTTAATTGGATTATTTCTTCAGTTTTTTTTTCTCTCCTCTACTACCGGTGTTCTCCCTTGGGTCTCTGTGTACACGTTTATATATGATGACAGTCAAATCAAAAAACGATCTAACATATGGTCGCCTTGTGGAGGCGAACCCGATCATTATTCTTTGTTACATGTACACATAAGAAAGATAGAGAAAAAGATGTACAAAGATAAAGTATCAAAGACAGGTTCAAATCAATAATCTTTTTGTATTTCCTGTTATTCATATGAAGAACATATTTTTTTCAGACTTTTACTTTTAAATGCATTAATAATAACAAAAAAGAAAATAGTTTGACGTCATTTTGCTTAATAAAAAAAAAAAAAGAAAGGCGCTTACATACACTGTTTCTCTATTTACTATACCTTCACCTTGACAATCTAATTATAATATTTGCTAGAAGACACAGACTCTCATGTCTGCGTGTTCAATCTAACGAAGTAGAATTGATCATGGCAAGCACGGAGAACAACAAGGAAAATAGTGGGAGAAAAGAAGCGGCAAGAAAACAGAACAACGAAAATAAAAGAGATTAAATCGTTGACGCGTATACTGTAACTGGAGAAGCTTGCTTTAGTCTTTTCCGTTAGTATATTCTAACATACATATCTATAATAACGAGAAGGAAAAGAGGAAACATTTATGTCATTGAAAGATGCACGACGTCAAAGGAAGAACTCAACGAAGAAACACAATAGAAATTTGAAAAGAAAGAAAACTGTTTTCCGTATAATCAGGTGGAAAACACAAATTCTTTATCTTGTAATTGATACTTGATATAGAAGACGAAGAAAAAAAAATGCAAAACTACTACATCAATTTGAAAAGTCGACATGTATAGAAAAGCAAGCAGAAAATGTGAATAAAAAAGGAAGAATATCATTGCATCTTCATGATCATCGCTATTCTAAAAGAAAACTGAATAACAATAGCATAGAATGAACATATATATTTATATAAATGTGTAGAAAAAAAGGAAAAGAATCTAATTTTCAAAAGAAAATAATCTAAAAAACAATGAAGAAGAAGAAAAAGAAGATGAAGACCGTGAATGACAGGAAGACCGGTAAACGTCTATCATCATCCGAACCGACAACTAATCTGTAAAACATATAGATGAAAGATCTTTACATATGTATACGCATGACGATGACTAGAAATGGCAAATAACAGTACGATTAATGTCAAACGATGATGCCTGGTAGCATCTCGTTGTGCTTGACATACGCTTTAATAGACGTTGATGGACGGAAAACTGCATGTATATAAAGATGTTGATAGAAACAGAAAAAACAAAAAAACAAACATCATCAAGAAAAATCTTGTACAGATCTAATAATATTATGGTAAAAGAAAGACAACAAGAAAAATATCCGTATATTGAGACGATTGTGTGGGAATAATATTAGCAGTCAGACATATGCAATATTCGTTTGTCTACATCATATCAAATAAGATGACAAGATAATAAAAATGATTCAATACAAAACATCTTTATGTATACATACACAGCATGCCTGTTTTACTCACTTGTAGTGTTTGCGGGGGTCTAATGTTACGTAAAAATTTTTCCTATTTTCATCCATCTGTCTGTGAATCATTATTATTTTGACATAACGACTGGGTGTATGTGTGTGTGAGAAACGATTCGGACAGCAACGACAATCATAAAGAAGACGAAGAAGAAGAAGAAGAAGAAGGAGAAGAAGAAGAAGAGTATTTCATTAAGATTACGATTGCTTTTTTTCTTCACTTGGTACTGCTACTGCTACTACTGCTGCTAATACTACTTCTACTATTGCTGTTGTCAGTATTATCTTCTCTCTCAACTTCAGTATTCATCCTCTCAAACACATGTTTCACTTGTCTAAATCTAATGCAAGCAATAGAACTACATAGTAATGACTGCGATGAGAAGAGCAATGGAAAAGAATTCTTTTCGCTTCTCTTTCTATTTTACTTGCTTTTTTCTACTTTCTCTCTCACTCTTTTTTCCTTTTCATTCCCCCTTTTTCCCATTGCCTTGTTCTGCTATGAACGGTCGCAAATTGTAACAAAAAAAAAAGAATAGCGCATGACAGAGCAGAGTGTTGAGAGAGTCATTTTGAAGGAGAGGCAAAAGATGAAGTTTCCTTTGTTCATCAATAAAAAACGCTTTTTTCGCTGTTTTCTCTCCTAGTCTTCTTCTATTCTTGCATACTGCTACAGCCGCCTCTGCGTCTTCAACATCGCCTTGGTCGCGAGCAAGTAATGGAAGAAAGAGTGCAATAAAGCGCCTAAGCTGTTTCCCGTGTTGTTTCAAAGATCGATTTCGCTTTTATTTCCTTGCTTTTCTAATTCTTTCTTTCTCTCTCTCTCTCTCTCCCTTCTTTACGAGTCTGCTTTTCTTGCTTATCAGTAGTTCAGCTAGATGTATGACTATCATAAAACAACGTGCAACACATGTGTATCATTTTTTGTATTAACGTTAGCTAGAAGGTTTCAAAACTGATAATTCAAATCAACATTGTTGCATTAATGATTTTTTTTTTTGACAAGCATAGATTTATGCCTTTACAGATATACAAAAATGAAAAATAATTAAACTTGTATTACCATTAAATCATTAAGAAAATATTGATAACAGCTGACAGAAAAATTAATCAAATTTAGGCTTTTTACGATGACAGAGACACTCTTCTTCTTATATCCAAAGCTTACTATAAGCGAGAGTACCTAGCATCTTTGTCATCATTCTGTACAATTTAATCAATGTCAAAAAAAATTCAGAACCAATGAACAATTACAATATTGCATTATGATTGTGCAATTTTTGCCACGCATATAATAACAGCATGGTAGATCAAATAAAAAAACCATGAGGATACATTGCTTAATGACATATTTTAAAGTTGAAAAAAAGGAAAAAAACATTTTATACATATATATATATATATATATATCAGCAAACAGTTTTTACAGCTGAGTGTCAAACCAAAACAAAATCAAGTAAATGATTATACGTATTATTTTATATACGACAACATGGGTTCATCATTGAAAAAACTTTCATCTTTCTTTCCTAAGTTCAATGAGATACACATATTCATGTATGGTCTCGATGCAGCTAGAAAAACAACTCTACTTTATGTATCAAAATTCGGTGAAGTCATATCAACAGTTCCAACAATTGGTTTTAATGTTGAAACAGTAAGACATGGAAATATAAATATCATAGTTTGGGATGTTGGTGGACGTGATAAAATTCGAGCTTTGTGGCGTCGTTTTTATGAAAAGACATCAGCAATTGTTTTTATTATCGATTCAAATGATCGTGATAGAATAGACGAAGCATGCCACGAATCACATAAGATGGCAAATGACGACTTATTAAAAAATTTACCGATTCTCGTCTTTGCTAATAAACAAGATTTACCGAATATTTTAACACTTGATGAAATCAAAGAAAAACTGAATTTATCAAAATTAGATGAAATAAAAACAAAATAGCACTTACAACATTTGATAGCTACTCAAAACAAAGATATTGATGAAGATTTGAATGGTTAGCAACTATATTGAAATCAAAGAATGATCTTACACAACAATTTATTGAAACAATAAATGATTCGAAAATAATTGAAGATATTCTTTCATCTGCATGGAATTTGGTTAATATTAAAATATTACTAAGGAAGTTTATTTAATATTCTCTTTTTACAATTTTCTTTTCTTTTGTATGCCAAACTATTCTAAAGATTGATACATTATTAAAATGATTGCATTATTAAAAGTAAGCTTTTGTAGTTCCAGAACATAAATAAAAACAAATATTATATATATATTGGCTTGTCTGAGTGTAATATGTGATAAAGTGCTGGCTACAGTATTCTTAACTTTTTTAGTAGTGAGGTTATCTAGACAATTCATTCTATAGTTGAGTGATACATTTCTGCCTTCTCCGAAAACTTCTGGAAGTATAAACTCATTTAAATGAGCCATTCAAAAGCTATTGCAAAAACTGATGACGTCATGGCATGATGAAAAATAAAACAAAAAGTTGAAGGTGTTGTGTTTGCTCTACATTTTTTTGCGAATGCTTGTCTTCAATAGAAAGAAACGTTCTATACATGTTTCGTAGCCGACAGATTGACAGATCCAGCTGACAAAAACAATCTTGAAGCAGAGTTCTTATTTTCATGGGAGATCGGTTTAATCAACGTGACGTGATGGTGCTAACTTCTGCAATCATTTTTTTTCTAACCTTACGCTTTATGTATGTATGGTTGTGTAAAGACACAGTAATATTTTGTTTCTCAACAATCACAGTAAGATGTATTAATTATTGTATTTACTAATCCTGTCACTACAGAATTATAAGAAAAAAACAACAGACCGATTAATATGTTCAATAACATGTACATAACCGACGGTGTATATTGCTTAGATTTTGACTTTAGAAAGTGTATTTCATATATATATATGCTTTAATGTTGCGACTGAGAAAAACTTCAGTAAGAAATTTTTGACAATAAAAAATCGAGCATTATTTTGCAAGTTAAAGAATCATACATTTCACATCAGTTTATTTCATACTATTATGAATGTCGCCTCAACTGAAATAGCTTACAGGATTGAAATTAAGAATTATTAGCAGTCATTATTAGTTATCGATTCATCTGTCGCCCCTAAAATTATCTCTCGAGACATGTAAGTTTTAAAGGCTTAACACTTCTTCCACTAGGAAACAAGTATTGCAGTACGACCTGCAAGCCAACAATTGATACGTAATGAGCTCATCTACCAGCATGAATGCGAGACGTTATGTGCACAAAAGAAACCACTAATATAGTGTAAAAAGAACTTGATATTCTTTTCTGATAACTGATGGCGGTGTCCAAACAGTCTTAACTCCAGTACTATAATCTATTATAGATAAAAGAGCATTAGTAAAAGTATTCCATTGCATAAGCTTCAAATCAAGGCCATTAGAGCGAAGTATTCGTAAACTCTACTAACACTCAACTTTACAAAATTATGCATAGACCGTCTTCACTAACACTGACACAAAAAATGCAATCCACTCAGTTATATTTGATTACACTAGTCTTTTAAACATACTTAACCCAAAAATATCTCAAAATACAAAAGAAATTGCCAAGTAAAACCACTTCACAAATTTTGAAGTAAAGAAAATCTACATAGAAATATTCGTGAATCGTTGTAAACATTAACTTAATCGGTTGATAATGTTCACTAGACATTCACCAACACATACACAGATGCAATTTATTGATTGACAAACTGTTCGAGATATGATGTTATGAATTTTACTTGAAAAACACATCGTAAAAGTGAAAATAAAAGCATTTTCTGTGAGAAAAACTTACCTATTTTGGAAAATTATTTAGAGTTTTGAGTCGAGAATGGCAAACTTTTTCAGCTTTATAAAAAAAATATATGTTCTTAATGGAAAGTGTTATAATAGTTTTGTGCTTTTCAAGAACTTAAAAATTCAAAACAAATGCATTAATATAATGAGGCAGACATAAGGATAGATGTATTTTAAGTTTTATGCCCGTTTCATCATCCGAAATGATATTTTTTATGCCGCATTTTTGATGTAAAATTCATCAAAGTCATGCAGGTTTTTTCCGTTTTTTAATTTCATGGGCTTCACAGGGAAGGCGGCATAATTATATAGGAGTTTCTTCAAAATAGTAAGAACGCACTATTTTCCATCATAAGTTTGAGGTTATAATTAAGCAAAAAACGCTTCTATTTTGAGTTTTAGAAAATTTTTGCTGTAAAATTCATCGCAACAAATCTCGAATCGTTTGTTAATAAATCAATCGCATGCATCTCTAAGTTTTAATGAAATATATAGTGAATAATATGGACCGATCAAGTTAATATTTTTACGAATTCATGAATATTTCTATGCAGTTTGTGCCTTATTTTAAAATTGCTTTTTACTTGCAACCTATTGCATCTTTCTGTGAATAATTGCGCGGATGTGACTGTTAGTGGCATTAACATAAACCAGAAATATGGCATCTTTGTCATCCTTATGTACAATTAAAACAATGTCAAAGAAATTTTCAGAACCAATGAATAATTAGAATATTGCAGTATGATTGTGCAATTTTCGCCACGTATACTATGACAACATGGTAGATGCTTACTGACGTACTTTTGAGTTACAAAAATAAAAGAAACGTATTTTATATGTATATATAACTAAACTTTTTCTGCCCTTTACTGACGATACCAAAACAAAATCAAGTAAACGACTATACATAAATTTTATATACGACAACATGGGTTCATCATTGAAAAAACTTTCATCTTATTTTTCTGCGTTCGACGAGACACGCATACTCATGTTTGGTCTTGATGCAGCTGGAAAAACAACTATACTTTATGCATCAAAACTCGGCGAAGTCATATCAACAATACCAACAATTGGTATGAATGTTGAAACAGTAAAACATGGAAATATAAATATCACAGTTTGGGATGTTGGTGGACGCGATAAAATTCGAGCTTTGTGGCGTCATTTTTATGAAAAGACGTCAGCAATTGTTTTTATTATCGATTCAAATGATCGCGATAGAATAGACGAAGCATGCCATGAATTACATAAGATGGCAAATGAAGAGTTATTAAAAAATTTGCCTATTCTCATCTTTGCTAATAAACAAGATTTACCAAATATTTTAACACTTGATGAAATCAAAGAAAAACTTAATTTATCAAAATTAAATGAAATGAAAACAAAATGGCATTTACAACCTTCAGTAGCTTTACTAAACCAAGGTATTGATGAAGGTTTTCAATGGTTAGCAACCACAATGCAATCAAAAAATTATCTTAAACAACCAATCATTGAAACAATAAATGATTCGAAAATAGTTAAAGATGATCTTTCATCTGCATGGAATTTAGTTAATATTAAAACATTATTAAGCAAATTCCTTTAATATTCTTGTTCTATAAATTTTTCTTTTGTATGTGAAGCTATTGTAAATATTAATATATTAAAAAATGTTTGTATTATCGAGTGTAAACTTTTGTAGTTCTAGAATACAAGTAAAAACAAATAAAAATTATATACATATATATATATCGACTTATCCAAGCGTTATGTGATGCTTTTTGGATCACAGTATTATTAAATATTCTTAGCAGTGAGATTATCTAGAGAGCTCATGCTGTATTTGAGTGATACATCTCTGCCTTTTCGAAAACATCTGGAAATATGAGCCCGTTCTAATGAGTCATTCAAAAGTAATTGCAAAAATTGATTACATCATGCTATGACACAAAATAAAACAAAAAATTGAGGGTGTTGTGTTTGTTCTATGAATTTTATTTCGAATGCGTGTTTTACATAAAAAAAACGTTCTATAGACGTTTTATAGCCGGCAGTTTGAGATATACAGCCGAGAAGCAATCTTCAAACAGGTTCTCATTTTGATGAGAAATCGGTTTAAACAGCGTACCGTGATGATGCTAACTTTTGCCATCATTGTTTTCTAAGCTTACGCCTTATGTATGTATGGTGGTGTAAAGACACGGTAATATTTTGTTTCTCAACAATGAAGGAAGAGGTATTTATTATTTTATTTACTGATTATTTTAGTACAGAATCATAAGAAAAAAACAACAAATCGATTAATATGCCAAACAACATGTACATAACCGACGATGTATATTGCATAGACGATGTTTGCATTTGTTCTTCCTGTCTCATTGAAACCCTTTATCCAAAAGTAAATATCCCATAGAATGACTCTAGATTTTGGCTTTAGAAAATGTGCTTCATGTATATACATATATATATATATATATATGAGCCATTCCGCATAAGCCACGACGGACTCCCCACAGAAGCTGCTCAATCGAGGTCGTCAGATTTTACTCAATTTAAGTAATGTTGCATAGGAAAGAGTTCTAAGGATTTTCACGTAAGCTCTTTTGAAAAATATTGTTTCATTCTCCATACATTCAATATTTTCTGAGGGCGCACCATCACCAAAAAAGTGCAGTTTTTCTGACATTTATATCTCATTAAGAATATATGTGTTTGACTTGAAACTTTTACTGTCAATAGATATCATGATTTTGTATTATCAAAACGAAAGATTAGCTCAATTGGATGAACTGTTGATGAGTTAATCAATACCGCAAAGTAGATGAGAAAATTGTCATTTTTTAATTTTTTGTGCACTTGCATATTTCATGAACGGATCAAACTAGAGATCTGAAATCTTGACCATAGTGAGATCTCATTTAATAGTCATTCCTCTGTAAAATTCCGCTGTCTAGATGGTCCCTATCGATCTGGGAACCTTCACCAAACACGTGTTTTTGATCAAAATCACAATTTTCAGAGAGTCCAATCCAGAGCAGAATGAAATTTATAGAAGTCGGGCTCATGTGGGTTTAAAGTACCCACTGAGTACCACAAAGTTATGAAAAAAAATTGAGTGGGATCTCAAAGAATGGCTCTAGAAGACTTATTGAAAAATCCCCAAAAATGATCCCTTTTCTATAGGAAATGTATCCAAGTGTCGTTTAGAAATGACTCAAAGAGATTCATCATAACAGATAAATTCTACCTAGTGTAAATCAGCATGTGATCCTCTATGGCCTTCCATAAAAATATACTTTCAAAATAAAGAAAAACACTTTTCGAAAAATTCCCCAGGGGGTGGAGGAACTCAGAGAAAAAGGTTTTACATGAAGAGAGCTGGAGGGGGAGTACGGGGATTTTTCGAAAACCTTTTTTCTTTATTTTGAAAGTATATTTTTATGGAAGGTCATAGAGGATCACATGCTGATTTACACTACGTAGAATTTATCTGATATGATGAATCGCTTTGAGTCATTTCTAAACGACACTTGGATACATTTCCTATAGAAAAGGGATCATTTTTAGGGATTTTTCAATAAGTCTTCTAGAGCCATTCTTTGAGCTCCCACTCAATTTTTTTTCATAACTTTGTGGTACTCAGTNAGCCCAGAATTTTGGCTCTGTATCTTCTGCATTCATCATTCTAACTAGATGAAAAGCCTTCCATAATAGGTTCAACAACGTGATATTGTCGAATATGAACTACAAAAGCTTCTTAAGAGCATCATCGACTACAAAATCTGAGATTACAGGTCAAAAACTGGCTTTTCTTAAAATTCCAGGAACTTCGGGTTTCTGCATCTTATGATAGTAGATTAGAAGCAATGTGAAATTTGAATTCGCTACCTAATTTTGGATGCTCTATCGTATGATGCGTTCAAAAGATCGAGAAAAAAAAGAAGGTGCGTCAGGGGTTTTCTGGAAAACCTTTTGAAGATCCTAAAGAATTCAATAAAAACAGAGTTCACCGTCGTGTTCAGCGCATCAAATAACCCTTGTTTGCATCTCTTTGGTAACCTAAATACTTGTGATATGTGGAATCAAGATAAACATTTCTGTGATTAGCAGTCTAATGCTGTAACCAGATCGAAAGTGATAGACACGTTAGAGGACTGGTTTTCTCAACACTTCTACAGGGTTTAAAATTTCACACATAGGTTATTTGATGCGCTGAACACGATGGTGAACTCTGTTTTTATTGAATTCTTTAGGATCTTCAAAAGGTTTTCCAGAAAACCCTGAAAAACCCTGACGCACCTTTTTTTTTTTCTCGATCTTTTGAATGCATCATAAGATAGCGCATCCAAAATTAGGTGCCCAGTTCAAATTTCACATTGCTTCTAATCTACTATCATAAGATGCAGAAACCCGAAGTTCCTGGAATTTTAAGAAAAGCCAGTTTTTGATCTATAATCTCAGATTTTCTAGTCGATGATGCTCTTAAGAAGCTTTTATAGTTCATATTCGACAATATCACGTTGTTGAACCTATTATGGAAGGCTTTTCATCAAGTTAGAATGATGAATGCAGAAGATACAGAGCCAAAATTCTGGGCTTTGAATGGAATGAGGTCCTCAAAAAAGGGCTGATTTCTTTTTACTGAAACGCTTTTAGGACCTGATATGTTGATATTCGTAATCAGTGCATTTGACTCTATAAATAGACATATATTTTAATTGAATCAAAAGTAAAAAGTTTTCCAGAGATCCCCGTGGGGGACCACCGGTTCCGAAAACCTTCGAGTGATCTATTGCAGAAAAAACCTATGTAATATCATCTGGAGTCATGTGTCACTCCAAACCGATCAAAAAAAAGTTAATTTTATTGGGGGCGGGAAAATGGCCTTATCCGCCCTCGTCCTATGAGTAATGGTGAAGTACAATGAAGTATTTGGACTCTAACGTCTGACTGACCTATGCAGGCTGGACTCCAATTACTATACCGGTACGCTGAGCACTATAGGTGTTGAAATAACACAAAAGTTTGCAGACAAACCCTCGCTACAGCCCAGGAGTACAGGGAGTACGCTGAAGTACAGCAAGTCGCGCTTTTCCCCCCTTGCACAGGACACGCCTAAAAATTTCATGTCTCTAAGGTACAAAAATTGCTAGTTCTCACCAATGCGTGCAGACGAAAAAAATGAATAGAAAGAAGATTAAAAATAGGCTTTAAATAACTGAGTTTGTTCAGCTTTTGAGACTCTATCTCCTCGTATATTGCTATAAAAAATTCGATTAATCTATTGTTTGGCTACAATGCTCGACCTTTGGGAAAGAAAATCTTGCCGTTTTTTCTGTCGAACTTGTTGATCACTTAAAAGTTAGTTCTGGCGAACTTTTCACCAACTCATACGAAATGTACTAGAAATAGAAATGTAGACGTCTTCGACATCACTCATTCAGATGCAAATTTCAAATAGAAAACTAAGTTTTGACCAGTAGCCTGGTTCCTCGACGTTCTCATGGAAGCTCTCTTAATTACCAATAAAACGTTTACTGTTTCTTTTTGTTCGGAAAAAAATCATGTTACTGGAATTCAAAACCGTAGTTTATTGATCAAACTTTTTCGTAGAACTCCGTGCAAACTTGTCTTTTTCTTGAATTCTCATATTTCAATGAGAAAGGACAATTAAATTTTAGACATATTTCAAGAATTAATGCTTCCTCATTGTTAGCCATTAGTTAAGTTTTATTTAAAATGCTTATTATAAAACTTCTCACATACACAGCGCCATCGAGTTGGATTTTCAATTGGTTGATTTGATTGGTTGATACTACATGGGTTTTTAAGCGACTACGCAATTCAGTATGTGTCGTCATGTGAGTGATAGATATATTATTTCAGTTACAGGTAGACAATATTTAATGAGTACGAAAAAGTCGACGATAAAGCTATGAAAATCTCGTCAATATGGTCGTTGCTTGCTCGACAATTCTCCTCAAAGGTCAGTTAGTTTGTCCTTAAACTAATTCATATAAATAATTCAATTATTTTTCTATAGGTAATATATATAATCTAAGTAAGGATATGTGCAGCTAATTAAAAGATGGTACGTATATTTTAATAGTTTCATTTTTTTAATTCCTCTGACATTTCGACGTTTATAATAGTAAAACCAAATGTTATGTTCAGACTAACAATGTACGATATTGACCTATAAAGAAATCCATGATATGTTTTTTTTAATTTTATTTCTTCAGTTTTATTATGAATATAAGAAATAATTGAGCTATATGAGAAATGGATAAAATCATTTTTTCTTGTTCTTTTTTACTTTTTCTTCTATCTGTGGAATTGTACTTGCTTTTATTTTTCATACATTATTAGTATGAAGATAACGTTTGGCTTTACTATTATAAACCTCAAAATGTCACAAAAATTAAACAATGAAACTATTAAAATATATGTACCATCTGTTGATTAGTTGTACTATTCTACTTAAATTATATGTACTATCCATAGAAAACAATACAAGTATTTATATGTATTACAATAACAGTAGCAAATATAATATGGGTCCTATAGTTCAATAACTACATAATAAGTCTATTATTTAGAAAAGAA